TAGCCCAAACAACTGCACAGGAAAGGGTAAAGGAAGAATCTAAAATTGACAGGCAATCAAAAGGGTTCATCACACCTGTAATCCCAGCACTCTGGGAGGCCAAGGCGAGCAGATCACAAAGTCAGGAGATCAAGACCATCTTGGCTAACACGGTGAAACCCTGTCTCTACCAAAAATACAAAAAATTAGCCAGGCATGGTGGCTCGCGCCTGTAGTCCCAGCTACTCAGGAGGCTGAGGCAGGAGAATTGCTTGAACTCGGGAGGCAGAGGTTGCAGTGAGCCAAGATCGCGCCATTGCACTCCAGCCTGGGTGACAGAGCAAGACTCTGTATCAAAAAAACAAACAGACAAAAAAAAAAAAAAAAAACACCCTAACCATTTTGGACAGTGAAGAAAAAGTTTTTAACCATACTAGAAAAGTCAACAGGGCTTACCTACTAAATCATCCTAGGCTGGAGTGCAGCGACACAATCATGGCTCACTGCAGCCTCCAACTCCTAGTCTCAAGGTATCCTCCTGCCTTAGCCTCCCAAGAAGAGAGGCTACAGCTGCAGGCTTGCACCACCACGCCCAGTTAATTTTTGATTTCTTTGTAGAGACAAGGTCTTACTATATTGCCCAAGCTGATCTCGAACTCCTTAGCTCAAGTAATCCTCCTGCCTCTGCCTCCCAAAGTGCTGCGATTACAGGGGTAAGCCACTGTACCCAACTGAGGCTCTTTTCTTTATTTTCATCTGTGTAGGATGGTTGGCTAGGCAGTTTACCAGTTGATTAATGAAAATATGTAAATTTCAGGAAGTAGGTGAAAGGACACATATGGCCGAGGAAAAACCTTGTCAGTTTCTCATGGTATTGCCTTAACCTTAGTAAAAGCAATGCTTACCTCCCCTCCAGAATTAACACCAACTTAAGCTAATTTTCAACATCAATTCTTTGGTCATACATATATAACAATTCAATTAATGACAAATGGTCCACGAGAGGCAGTGAGTAGGTTTCTACATCACAATATCTACCAGCCTAGGCTTATAAAATTGTTAGAGATGGAAGGACACTGAAAGTTGGTCTAGTTCCTTCCCTTTTTTTGCAATGATAAAGAAACTGAGACTCAGAAAATTTTAATGAATTTCTCCAAAGCTGTACAGTGCAGTGGCAGTACAAGACTATAATGCCTGTCTCTAGTTCGTGATGATTCACAGAGCTAATATATAATGAAGAGCTCAGCAGAGTAGATGCATAAGGTAGACATTCAGCATATGTCAAGTCTCTAATGTCAAGCCTCTACTAGAAATCGCTCACCGCATGTTTAATGGCAACATTAGACATAAAACCACACAATCATTTTGCAGATGGAAAAAAACTGAGACACACAGAAAACCAACTCATCCACACAACGCAACTGGCCAACCTGAAACCTGAAGCTTCTAAGTGTCTCTTTTCACAATACCATGCTGCCCTTCTCTCACTGTTAAAAGTAAGTAATAATAAATTATGACTCTATGTATCCCATATATAGAACCAGTTCTAGAATTTTAGCTCAACCATTTAGTTGGAAATCAAAAAACATCCGAAAACGTGGTGGAGCAACCAAATTAAATAGCATGGTTGCTGACCACCCAAATTCTGTTTCACTGACCGGAAGACTGGGACCAACTTTGTTTTTCTGCTTTGGTGCAAATGGGTAACTGGGAAATCTGGAGAGGCAGAACTTTCTGCAAACTGAGCTTCAGAATTTTCTGATGAGAACCTCAATTTCAAGATTCTTCAGATGGGGGAAAGGACTCCACTCACGCTAAACTGAGAATTGGGGATCAATTCAAATTGACTTCACTGTTAATCTATCCTTCCCTTTTCTAAGACATGGTTTCTGGTTTATAAAACGGAGATAATCTATTCATAGGGGTTGCATTAAAGAGTGTATATATGAATTTATATAAAAAAGAGACTAACAGAGCTTAGAAAGACAATAATTGTTCCTCCCTTCTTACCTGGGAATTGTTTGTCGCTCTCCTGTAACCCCATCCACCACAATCAATGTACAAAAACCAGGAGGTGATAAACATTACTTAATTAAAAGGAAAACAAAATCAATTTCAGAAAAACCTATCACGCAAAGATTCATAACTGTATTTAAAAGCAATTAATCTGCAAAGATAGCTGTCCAATGAAGGGTAAACTCCCACTGGTGTTATTTGACACCAGATTGTCTTGGCTTTCCAACGAGAGTGGACTTCTGTCTTTTCACTAAGAATTTAACGTTCTAAAAAGGTATGTGAAACAAGTTAAACTACTTGCATATTTCCACTTACATAACACTGACATAGCACATCAACTTTTATTTTTTCCAGATACTAGATGAAGCTTGGTGTATATTCTTGTGGGAGAAGAAACAGAAAACTGTCTCTCTTCTTAATATATTAGTGCCCTGTAATCCAGACCATATGATCAATAAACTATATAAAAATTAAATCATACTGACGGTCTTAGGCAAAAAGTGGAAACAATTTTTTTTAGGACAGTGATGTGTGGAATATTAAAATCACATGTTGTACTATTAATTTTTCTTTTGGAAGCCAAATAGAGTTCTCCTGCATAAATATCTCACCTAAATAATGTTTCTCTTGCAAAGAATTTTTCCTATTAAAGGTGTTTAAGAGACATTTAATTAGCGATACTGTGATTGGCCTGTGCTCAGGGGAGACACTGATCAATAAGTCACTTTGAAAATGTTGCCATGGTTTTCATGGCAAAGCACCCCTTAAAACAAGTAGCTATGTGCCTCTATAATAAAATACGTGGTCGTGACAGCTTATTGCTTTTTGGAGATAAACAAAATCATTTTGTTCAAACATAGGACCAACAGTGAATAAATATAATCAACAGGTTAGAATATTAGCTTTGAGGGGATGGGAGATAGGTGGGGCAAATGAAGAACTGAAATGTGCGTGTGCCCACACATGTATGCACGCACACACACCTTTTTTACACCTTCTATGTACAACAGAGTAGCTTGGGTTTTTACATCCCTGGCTAAACTATAGCTGATGGGTGTGTCTTTTTGCAAATTCCTTTACATCTCTTTCCTTTTCCCTTTCATAAGACACCACCTCTTGGGACTGCCTTCTGAAATCACAAGGGTGGAAAGGAAATTGTACAAAGGCTGTCAAGCATGTTCTAGCTCTGCTTTCTTAATCACAAAGTAGGAGGTAGGAGAGTATCCTGCACAGGCAGTCTAGAAAGAGCTTTCCCTGCCACCAACAAAACACACTGAATAAACACACGGAGTTCCAGTCAAGTTTACAGCAAACAGCTTCCATGTGTTTAGTGCTTCCTTATACTCCCCTAGGACCAAGGAGGGTCTTTTAAAAATTCAACAGCTTGATTACAAGACTTTAAGTAGTAATCTGTCCCACTGTGCATGATAATAAGCCAGCTGCCTTCAGGAAGGTAGGCCCCCCAGTGACAATTCCTTTACATAGCATCTTAATGTTGAATTAATATTGAGAGATGTGGAAATGGGATGTGCCACCTGAACTACAGTGACCTTTCTTCCCTTCCACTCTTCCACAGAACACAATTATACCTTCAGCTGTCTCTCCTTAACTGAAGGGGACTGTCCTTATTTTTAAACTCTAAGAATCCTATCTTTCTTTACTATGGACCATCAAGAGGACACTGCACAATAAGGACAGTGCTACATACAGCAAGAGTCATGAACACCAGGGAGGTGTAACTCCAGCCTAAGAAGTCTCTGGTCTGCAAAATCTGCAAGGACAAATCCATTTCAAAGGGGACTTAGGTCTCCGTGCAGGAGTTCTATTTTAAGGGAACTGAATTGGGAACACAGATGTTTCTTCAGTTAGCAGAGTTGGCAGAACAGCTCCTGGACCAGATCCGAGTTCTTAATGCAGGAAGGGGCCTCGGAGAGCATCTACTTCAACCCACTCATTCAACTCAGAGGAAACTGAGGCCCATGAGGCAGTTAGGTGGCACACCCAGCAAGTGGCAAGAGCGGCAGTGTTCTGATGACAAGTACTGTGCGCTTTCCATTACACCATGATTCGCTTTAAAAAAAAAAAAAAATCCTAGGCTGACTTCAACCTTGGAAGTCCTGTTCATTCGTGTGAAGCGCTTTCTCCCTCTCCTACCGAGTTCATAAATCCTCCTCACTCTCCCACTCCAATTCCTTTAACTCCCACCGCTCTTTCAGCTGTGGCTCTCAACGACCTTGGAAAACAGAAATGGATCATCGCCTCAACTTTCTGGGAGTGCAATTAAATTTGTGGTCCCCAAACAAGATCGCAGCTGGCTTTCCCAGTGCCTCAACGTGCCCATCAGGGAAATGGGGCTCATCATCCCTGCTGCACCAAGTCAGGGAGTGGGCGAGCTAAAACTGATGCCCGTGAAGCCGCCTACCACCTGGCACACAGTAGGCACTCAAGTGATTGCCGAAGCCGTGCCCAGCACCAAGCCCGGGGAGAGCACCTCCAGGAGAGAAGCAAGTGAAAAGGCCGGCTAGCCAGTCTGGCGAGCCTGGGCAGCAAAGGCGGAAGGGTTGGATGTTTACATACAGCCGCGGTAAGGCAGCTCGGCTCCAGGCAGGAGCCCGGCTCTCGGGGCGATCCATTTCACTCGGATGGAGGGCGACCAGCCATACGCTGGCCCTAGAGCACGGCTCAACCAACTTCCCCTACGCTAAAAGGACTAACCCACACCTTCCGCGGGATTCCGCCCGGGCTTCCAACCTGGAGACGACTTTTATCGAGCTGGTTTAACAGTTGCCCACGAACGCTTAAGCATGCCCAGACCCACTCAAGTACAGGCCAGGAAGTCGGTGGGATCGGGGAGGGCGGGGGCTTCGGGCCCGGGCGGCGCGAAGGCTCCCCAGGAAGGCTGCGGGGGCCCCCCGGAGCTGACAGCGCGGCGCGGCGCGGCCCCGGGCTGGGCTGGGACGCGCGCCGAGGGCCGAGGGGCCGAGGGACAGCGGGGCTGGGCTCACCCATGAAGAGGCAGAAGAGGTCGAGGCAGATGAGCAGCACCCGCTTGCTGCCGCTCCTCCTCGGGTTGTTGTTGAGCGCCGGGCTGCCGCCGTTCTTGCTCTCCGGGACGATCGCTTTGTCGTACTTGTAGTTTTGCATGGCGCTGGCTGCGGCGCGAGCCTCCCGCCTCGCGAAGACGTCCCGCAATAGCAGCCACACACCCAGGCGCCCGAGTCGCCTCCTGGCCGAGGCTGCTGCGGAGAGTGGCCGGTCGGCCCGGGCTCCGGGCGCGGCGGCGAGAGTGCAGCCCGGGCTGCCTGCCTCCAACTGCAGAATGTGGTGTTTTCTGCTCCTCCTGCGCGCCTCTGCTTTCCTCTCTCAACCCCAAATCGTTCGAAAGTCCAAGGGGAAGAGAGCCAGATCCCGAGCAGAAACTTTTGCAGAGCTGCGCAGCTTGGGGCGCGCTGGGCTGGCGCGCGTCTGAGTGCGCGAGCGAGCGAGTGGGCAGCGCGGGCGCTCCGCCACCTTCCTCCGCAGCTGGTTCCTTAATGAATGGGAGCTGCGCTGAGTCCAGCAACTCCGGAGCGCCAGCCCCAACTCCAACTTTGCCTCCTCCTCCTCCTCCTCCTGCTCCTCCTGCTGTTGGTGCTGCTGCCCGCGGCGGCTGCTGCTGTGATCGCCTGGGTTTGTTTTCTGCACTTCTATTTCACGAGGTCCTTTAAAAAGAGAAGACGTGGGGGGAGAGAGAAAGAGGGACCTCCTTACTTGGCTCGGATGGGATTCTGAAAGCACAGCCCCTTCCTTAAGCTGCCTAAGACGTAGGATAATTAAGGCCACATTTTCCCCCACCCCCTTCAAAAAAAAAAGTCCTAAAAGGAAAAGTTGCTCTCAAACCAGAGAAACCGGGAGCCCCTAGCGTTCAGAAACACCAAATTGTCACCAAAGAAAAAATATATACAAATAAAAAGAAACATTTTCTTGCTGGCCTTGGGTCAAGTAAAAGTTAGGGCTGTACGACTAAAATGCATTTTTCCTCCCTTACAAACGTGAGGCCTTCACGTCTTTGTTGTGACTTGAATTGTATTACCCTGAAAATATAATTTTTAAGGAAAACTAGTTTTTTGTTTGTTTGTTTAAGATCTTAACATCCAGCACTGGGTACTGTGCTAGATTTTGAGAATACTAAGATGAAAAAGACTGCACGACTGTGGAACCACATCTCCTGGATTTCAATCCTGTGACTCTGTGCCTCAGTTTCCCCATATGTAAATAGAGCTAACTATTCCTTTTCATATAGAGTGGTTGTGAAGACTTAATTTGTTAGTCCATGTAAGCTCCTAGAACAGTGCCCAGTACGTAGGAAGTGCTCTATGAGGGTTAGCCATTACCTTTTTTCTGGGTGAAGGAGTCAGGCCATCCAACCCCTCTCCTGGCCCCAAGAGTACTTGCACTATTATGGGGAATTCCAGGGCAGCCAAAATGCTCCCTGCTTGAGTTTCAGACAATCTAACGCTTTTCCTTAGAGGCTGGCATCTTATTTTTAATTATTTTATGTGAGTTAATCTTTTTTCTAGAAAGAGAATAAACATTTCCAGGGCAAGGGCCTTCCCTTGTATATTCTATAGTGCCTAGCACGGAGCTGGGCACAGTGGACAGTAAATGGTTGTTTTCTCCAGGTGGCTGTTTGTGTGCATCCAGAAATGGAAATATTTGTAGCTTTTTGATAGATTACACAAATCATGTTCTTTCTTACACTGACTTATTTTGGGTTTTGATAACTTTATATGCAGCCACCATCAACCCTTTCTGGTACAATTGCCCTTTCTGGTACAATCCTTTCACACTACACACCCCTGCTCTCCTACATGCTCTGCCTATAATGCATACCCTTTCCTCCTCTACTTAGGAAAGTGCTTCTCTTGCTTTAGTATCCTCTGAAATGTCACCTCTTCTCTGAGTACTTTCTTGACTCCTGCACAGAATTAACTTCACTTTGCTTATAACTGTTTTCTTTTCCCCCCTTAAGGTGGTGTCTCACTCTGTTGCCCAGGCTGGAGTGCAGTGGCGCAATCTTGGCTCACTGCAATCTCCGCCTCCCGGGTTCAAGGGATTGTCCTGCCTCAGCCCCCTGAGTAGCTGACATTACAGGCACGCGCCACCACGCCCAGCTAGTTTTTGTGTTTTTAGTAGAGATGGGGTTTCACCATGTTGGTCAGGCTGGTTTCAAACTCCTGACTTCATGATCCGCCCGCCTTGACCTCCCAAAGTGCTGGGATTACAGGCCTGAGCCTACCTCGGCCTGATTTGGTGTTACAGATGGTTAAAAACTAGCAAGCTGTGTAGGTTATCCACGCCACGGCATCTCTCTGGTACCTAGCACAGGATTTGCTGTGTACTGAATGAAGTTCAAGTTGGGACCAATTAGTAAGTGGGGCTTGCGAAGAAAGACAACATTGCTATCTTCTGGAAGTAAGAAGATCTGCCTCTCCCAAGAAGTTTTGGAGCTGAAGCATCCAACTGCAAATCAGACACAGCACTCTCAATTCAAATAGCACAGGTAAAAGCCAAGGTAGTTCAGAGGATAGATTCTTGAGATAGCTTTTTATTGAGAAACACCTTCTCTTGAAATGTTAAAAGAGTGTAAGCCAAACAAGGCCAGGTTCATAATTATTGACATTCTAAGAGGAATTTCAGGATTTCAGGGTCTTTGCCTACTCAACAGTCTTTGTAATTATAATTATCCTTGAAATTCTTAGTCACCAAACCATGCTTTTGGAATTCCAATCTAAAAGCAAGCTTTCTTGAAACTGCAGGCCTCTCTGATCTTTCCCTCCTTTGAACTCTAAAAGACCTTGAGTAGACACTCAAGGTCTTATTCCACTGGACACGGCCCTGTCTGATTGCTTCACTTTGCAAATAATGAGATTACTTGCAAAGTGAAATAATAAGACAGTGTCATGTGCAGTGGAATATAGTGGCTGGTCTTACTTGCAGGTGGTCATAATTTGTCCCTCAAAGATTGTTAGCTCTATGAGGGGAGAGACTTGACCTTGATACCGCAATAAATAAAGGTGAAATCCTAAGCCAAAAAAAGAAATAGTGACTACATGAATTTTATAGGTACCTCCCTGTATGTTTCCTGTCTGCTTTTCCTTATCTGTGAAATGACTTTTATCAATTTAAGAATACACATATTTCTAAAAGTCAGACTGGCTGGGTGCAGTGGCTCATGCCCATAATCCTAGCTCTTTGGGAGGCCAAGACAGGTAGATCACTTGAGGCCAGGACTCCAAGACCAGCCTGGCAAACATGGTGAAACCCCATCTTTACTAAAAATACTGGTGTGGTGGTGCAGACCCATAGTCCCAGCTACTCCCTGAGGCTGAGACACAAGAATCGCTTTAACTGGGGAGGTGGATGTTGCAGTGAACCTAGATCATGCCACTGCACTCCAGTCTGAGCAACAGAGGGAGACTCTGTCTCACAAAGTCTGTTATTCCAAAAGCAGATAAAAGGGAAAATAAATGGATGTTTAAATAAGAGTTTTATATTTCCGTTTATAAGGCTCTGTGGGCTATTTTTCCATAACTAAAAGATCATAGTGTTCATTGATGTATGTAGTTCTATGCAAACAGGTATTATATTTGGATAACTCTTCAAGGGATCGCTACAAATACTTGTTATTATAAAACTGATTTGAACAGCTAATAAAATATAGTGTCAATATCATTATTTGGATAATGGGAAATAAAGCAACTAACCAGACATATAAATTTGAAGGCCTCTTTGCCTTAAATCCTAAAGTTGAATAATCTTGCCAGCAAATAAAATGCAGCAAAACAGACTTGATAATTTAGAATGGTGTCATTTCAAGGTAATTAAGTAATTAGACTTTCTGGCAAACAAACTTACCAAAATTCACACATTAAAATGACATCCAGTTCATTAAATTGGTCTGTATAAAAACTATAACATCAGCGGGGATAAATGCCTTTTTAAGATTGACTTATTACGTGTGGCAACAACAGCACATCATCCTTACATAACTGATACCTCCTAACAGACTTAAATAGCTTTCATTTCTAAGATCTCTCTTTACCTCATAATTTTCTTTCTCTCTCTTTTTGACTCCTAATATTTAATAATTAATTATTTTTAGTTTTGAAAAGATATGAATTGGCTCTAGAAATATTTAAGAGGAAAGTAGAAATATTTAAGAGGAAAGTAGCTGAGTCCCTTTATATAAAATTGTATAGTCAAAAGGTAAGAGCCTAAGTTTCTTAAGCCATTGAAATTAAGAAGACATAGACGTTTTGGCTAAGAAGTGCTTATTTATCCAGATTCTTCCAAACTGTTACATTCATATTCCACCTCTGGTTTTTTACTAAAACAAAAATTGCTAGTTTGCTGCTATAAGTGTTGGATTTGATATCACGCATGCTTCCAGAGGACTGAATGGAAACATTTACAGTAATACTCCTGAGAAAAGGCAGGAAGGGGCAGGGGATTGGAAGTCAGAAAACCTTGGTTCTGCTGTTTGACCTGAGGCAAACTGAATAACCTCCCTGAACCACAGTTTCCTCAACTTTTAAATGGGACTGGCATTTTTCTCTAGTTCTGAGGATGGTTAAAAATTATAAAATGAAATAGTACATTTGAAAATGCTTGATACACAATAGGCAATCAATAAATATTAGTTGAATGTTAATTTTTTTTTTTCTTTGAGACAGAGTCTTGCTCTGTCATCCAGGCTGGAGTGCAGTGATGCGATCTTGGCTCGCAGCAGCCCTCCTGGGTTCAAGCGATTCTCATGCCACAGACACCCAAGTAGCTGGGATTACAGGCATGGCCACCAAGCCTGGCTAATTTTTGTATTTTTACTTCAGACGGGGTTTTGCCATGTTGGCCAGGCTAGTCTTGAACACCTGGCCTCAAGTGGTCTGCCCACCTTGGTCTCCCAAAGTGCTGGGATTACAGGCGTGAACCACTGCGTCTGGCAAGTTGAATGTTAATATTTTCAATGAACACTTTATTTCTACAAAATACCTCATTTAAATACAGCTATTTAAAATGCATTTATGAAGTACCACCTTGAATATAACCACTTAATTGTAGTCATCTTTCCCTACATAAAATAACATCTTCAGCCTCTCAACTCCTGTCTTTTTAAAATATGCAATTTCTTGAGGTTTCAGAAAGTAATAATTCAAAATACTTATTTTCTTGAACGATTTACTTATACGTTGTTTCCTTCAGAACTGTTTGTGAAATCCAAGAAAAGCCATTTGCTTAAGCTAATAATCTTGTGAGAGTACAAGTGAAAGTACTTTCATTTTAAAAGCACTTTCACCTCTATTATCTTATTTTATCCTTACAACTCACTGAAGTAGGTGGAGTTGCTCTCATTAGTCCCATTTTACAGATGAGAAAACTGAGGCAAGCTCACTTAACTGGATAGAACTGGTTTTCCCCATAGGTAAAATGAAAATGATTCTAACATTAGCTCATGCAGGGTGAAGTGTATAATGCTTTACAGTTTATAATATTTATAATACAGTTATACTCCTTACAGTTTATAATGCCATTTACATTTACTGATCTCGTTTCCGAATAGGTAAGGCGGATATTATTTTCCTTGTTTTAGAAATAAGGAAACTGAATCTTGGAAAGATAGGAGATTTGATTAAAGTTGGAGGTGAGAAGATTTCTAAAGAGCCACTAGAATCCAGGTCTCTTAATTTCTAAACTAAAGGTTTTTTCTTTACCCCACAAGGTCTCACACTGAAAGGTGCTCAGAAATTTCTGCTGTTCAACAGTGAATTCACAGAGTAACTTAGAGGGACTGAAGAATTAGCTTCATGTCTTTAGTAAAGAGACAGAGGGGAAGTTGTATTTTGTTTGTAATTTCTTACAGGCTTGGAAGGGAACAGCATTGTTGCACCGTGTGTCTTTGAAACAGCATTTGGCTTCATAATTTGTCAAGCAACTTTTTGTTACAGAAAGGGAGCTTTAAGGACACAAAATCGTAGTGGCACCGGAAAGCAGTCTTGGATTCATGTCAACATTTTTACCTTTTTACAAGTAGTAATCTTTCCTTAGCTAGAAA